CCCCAGTGGAAAAGTGACATGTTTCTGGGGATCTGGGAGATTTAAACCAATGAGTACATAAAAGAAATACCGTGAGTGATTACTAAAAGTGATCCTAAACAGACTACCTCCTCTCCCTTTCCATAATCACTCAGAATGAAATGAACATTTTTGAAAACCTAAACCTCGGTCCTCTCTATCCTTAGGACACCCTTATCCTGTTTCCCAGGTTTTGTGAGCACACCCCAGACAGGAGCAATATGATGAGCCTCTACAGCCTGGCTTGCCATGTGGCCTTAGACAGCACCATTGCCCTCTAGATCTACATTCTCCAATAAAGCTGGTAGACTCATAAGTCAGTCTGGCTGTCTGAGAAAAAATTTCATTCTGAAGGCTGTTTTTGCTTGACCCATACAATAAGAAGAATGGAAAAGAAGAGAAAGCAGAGAGAGGGGTTTTCAGTCTTTCAGACAAAGCAAGCTCTCTCTTTCTCTAGTTTGCCATCTCTCTCACCATTCACTATTTTATGCCTCTGGACCACTTCTCTCATTTGTATTATCAATTAGCCCCTGAAGACATTTTGGTTTGCCACCCCTGGACTAGAGCATCTTTATGTCCTTTCTGATGGTGGCATCTGGTACTGGTAGGGCTTTCTTTCCCACCAGCAGTGGTCAGATACCTTGCTCAGCCCTCCTGTCACATGTCCATTGAATCAGTATCTGGGCCTGATTTCATCCAAGAGATGTCATCCAAGCCAAGCCTGACAAACAGGCTTATGTCGGTTACCATCTCCTAACAGTGGGTAACGACTGCTCAGAACTGTATGTTGGTGACTATCCTGAAGCCACGTGTTCAGACTCACAGGGGCCTGTCATGGAGTGATATGACAGAACAGAGTCATAGTGCTATTTATTTGCAGTCCTTTATCAACCATCCTCTGCTTTTATAGAAGAAGTATTAAGGTCCAGAGAGGGGAAAGTAACTTCCCATAGTCACCCAGGAGATGGGTTAAGAGCTGATTTTCCTTATTCCATCCAGGATTCTTTCATCTCTCTTTCAATGGATTCACCAACTGAACGGTTCATCCCAACTTCCAAATACTTCCTTCATATAGGGCCCAGCTAAAGTCTAGCCTCGTCCGGAGGGGTCGTAGTTGATGGCTCTAGTCCCCACTGATCACCTCTGTCTCTCCACTCCTCCCCTCAGCCTGTTGCACCCAGCCTGACCCCTGGGTTTATGCAAGTGGCGGTTGAGTTACTGAACAGGACTAGTCAACACCGCAGTGCTGCCCCTAACAAGGAAGGTGGACTTTAAACCACTGATTACACAATCACCCAACTTAATTACAGTTCTGGTGAGTTCAGGGGGGGAACTGCTTTGGGCATACAGGAAGGGTGGTGGGGCACTCAGGGACGGCCTGTTTGAGGAAGCCACTTTACACTGAGTTAGGAATGATGGCCGCAGTTGAAGGTGAGGGTAAGCACTGCACACAGAGGGAACTGAAAGGTGCATGACATGTTGAAGGAACTGAAAGAGGCAGAGCAAACAGGGCAGCAAAAGGGTTAAGGAAGCTGGTAAATTCCAGAGCCTCGTAGGAGCCTCTGATGTCACAGATGGTCAGACTCACAGAAGCCCTCTCCGTAGCACTGGCTGAGGTTATTGCTCAGGTCCTGTCCCAGGCTTCCTAGTGGCTGCCACAGGCTCCTTCTCCTTCCAGCCTCATCAGATTCCATGTTTACTTCCTATTTCACCACTACTCCACCTCTCCACTCACCATCACCAAAAGTGATCAGGTGATAGTGCCCACACCCACTGCAGTCCCCCTGCTGTCCCCACCTCAGTAAAGGGCAACTTCCAATCACACATCTGGCCTCCCATGGTTCCAGCCATTTTCCCACCACCCCTGTGCACACGGGCATTCAGAATGAGCTCTGAGCCAAGGGGCGACCTGGACCAGGCGTCCACACAGGTAAGGATAGGGTACCACTGTTTTCTCCATAGTATCCCAGTGACCTGTCTTGATCCATGGATGAGGAGTTGGGAGACCTCCGTCTCAGAGATGTGCTTATCCTTCAAGGAGGAGAAACTCCCGGTGAAACTGAGCATTCTGCCTGGGGGCTTTTATTCTGGCCACCTACAAGCTCTTTATGATGAGATAAAAGGGTTTACTTTAATCACCTTTAAACTAATCCAGCTGAACTATAAACCTATGCTCTCCTTTTTTGAGCTATTTTTTGATATCAGTGACAAATGATTTCTGGGTATGATTTAAAAACACACAGAGAGCAGAAAGGCTTAATGCTCACCATTGAGAACTTTGTGCTACATCTGTAATCTCCGACAGCTGGTGCAATAGGATTGGCCTCATGTCCAGCAGAACCTTCCTCCATAGCAAGGAGGCATTAGCAGTGTCAAGAGGGTGGAGGTGGGGGGTTATTCTTACAACCTGTCCCAACTTGAATTTTCTGTTCCCTTTAAGTAGGGCGAATCCTTCATCTATCAACAAATATTGAGCACCTACTAAGTGCTGGGCACCTTTATAGACTTTGAATACACTGCAGTGAGTATTGTTCCTGTTCTCAAGGAGCTGGTATTCCAGGGGAAGCGTTGTTAGTTATTTGGGTTCATGATTTCAGAGGTTTCAGTCTATGGTCACTTGTCCCTGTTGATTTAGGGCTGTGGCAGCAAAGTACATCATGGTAGGAGCATGTGGCAGAAGAGTCCTGTTGACCTCATGGCAGCCAGAGAGAGAAAGAGAGAGCAGGGGGAAGGAAGGGCTAGGATCCAAATAGCCTCTTCAAGGCCACGCCCCTGAGTGACCTAACTTCCTTCCACTAAGCCCCACCTCCTAAAGGACCCACCCCCTCCCAATGGGCACAAAGCTGATCTCCAAGCCCTTAACACACAAGCCTTTGGGAGACATTCAAGATCCAAACTCCGGATCACAAGTTCAAAGCCAGTAATTTGGTCCTAAGCAACTCAGTGAGACTCTGTTTCTAAATAAAATACAAGATAGGGCTGGAGATGTGGCTCAGGGGTTGAGTGCCTCTGAGTTTAATGCCCAGTACTCCACCCCCCCAAAAAAAAATCCAAACCATAGCACAAAGGAAGAAACAAATGAACACCCGGTTGTACACCTTTACACAGGCTGAGGGGAAAGGAATGGCTGAGCACAGACAGATGGTTCAGGGAAGGACTCCCTCAATGAGGTGGTGTATGAACAAAGGTCCGGAGGAAATGGAGCAAGCCACAGCACTGTCTAGGGAAAGAGGACATCCCGAAGAGAGACCAGACACGGGGAAGGGTATGGAAGCAGAGAAAGGGAAACCTTCAAGACACTCCTGCAAGAATCCAGGAAATAAATTTAAGAAAGAAAGAATCCAGGCCAAGGGGGTTCTCAGGGGGTCCTTGTTTCCTAGGGGACAGCAGAGAAGCAGCAGGTGGGAAGGAATATGGAACTCTAGATGTCAAGAAAGGAGGTGCTCCAAACAGAACACGAGGCGGAGCTCCTGAGAGGGTTTTCAGGGAAGAGTGATGGGGGACCGTCGAGGCTTAGAGGATTGGATTGGTGGACGGTTCTGGAACTGATGATAGTTTGGCACTAAATTTAAAGAAGAGAAAAAAAGGTCGGGGACGGTGGTGGGGGGGGGAGTCTTCAGCAAAGACAAAGATCTTGTATTTCTAGTTTGCACAGCTGTAGTCTCTTCAAATGCGGCTCTCCAAGGGGAAATTGTTCAGGTCAATCCCAGTGTCCTGGGTCACCTTACTGTTCACCTGTAATACTATCCAGGGCCCCAAGGATGCAGGTGCCCCATACATGGGCACTGCCAGGGTGATTCCTGTGTGCTCCACCCCCTGGCCTGGACCAGTCATCTGAGTGGGAGAGAGGCTGGAAGATACACTGGTACAACCAGGAACTGTTCTCATCTCACATTTCAGTGGGGTGTGTTCATTCCAGCATCCTGTTTTTGGCATTATTAAGAGGACCGGGGACTAGCAGAAACACTCAGATTGACACTTTTGTATTCCAGGATGATGGTAAATATAATTAAAGTCTGAGGCTCTTTTGAAAATTCTCATGCACAAATACCTTGTTTTTCTGCACAGAGGAAATAAATATTCTTAGTCATAAATCTGGGTTCTGTCTCCTCTGGATAAGCCACCAGCCACGATCACAGCCCATTCAGGTAGCTTCCCTGTCAGAGAACCTTAAGATTAAGAATCCTAGGGGCTGGGGCTGGGGCTCAGTGGTAGGTCACTTACCTGGTATGTGTGAGGCACTGGGTTCGATTCTCAGCACCACATGTAAATCAATCAATCAATCAATAAAGGTCTATCAACAATTAAAAATATTTTTTTAAAAAAGGATCCTAGTTCACTGGTTACCTACACAGGCCCAGAATGCTTTTGATGATAGCTGCTAGATTTTTCAAAGTTAATATACCAAGATTTCAGTACCACCCTTGGCTTTACCTGGACGCCTCTTGACTTCTCCACTTAAGCATCTCAATCTTGGCAATCCAGAACAGAAGTTCTTTCCCCTTCTAAATTTGCTTTCTATTGATCCTAGTCCTTGGGTACTCAAGGCAGATAGCTAGGAGGCATCCTGGACCCTTGCCTTCCCCGGAGCTCTCTTATCCAGTCTACCCATAAGCTTTTGAGAATCTGCCTCCAGAATGCCTGGAATCCCTTCTCTTCTGTCCACCTCCTCTGCCGACACCCCAGGCTGGCCCACCGCCTCTCACCTGCAATGACACTAGGCCGCCTCCCCACTTTCTCTTCCTGTAGCCCCATCTCCACTCAAGAGCAAAGAAGGTCTTGGTTACACAGTCTTTGGGTCACATCTCTCCCGCTCTGAATCCTTCTGGGATTGCTGTTATTCTAAGATCAAGGTCACCTTCCTAACCATGGCCATCTAAACTGTTCATGCAAACCCGTCCGGTGACAGCCTCCCCTCCGCTGGCCACCAACCTACTGTATTAGTTTCCTCTGGCTGCCGTGACAAACTGCCACAAACTTGGTGGTTTCAGGTGACACAAATATTCTCTTGTAACCTGGAGGCCAGAAATCCAACATGGAATGGACCCAGGGTAGCCAGGGCTACCAACTCCCCCCGAAGTTCCAAGCGAGAATCTGTGTCACTGCCTTTTCCAAAGGCTTCTAAAGCAGCTGCTGCACTCCTGGGCGCCTGGCCCCTTCTTCCACCGTCCAACCCAGCAGCATGGCATCTGGCTTCGGTGGTCCCAGGCTGCCTTCTCTCTTGTCAACCGCTCCTTCGCTTCTCTCTTATAAGGACACTGGTGATAGCATTTAGGTCCTACCACATAATCCAGGATGCTCTCTCCATCTCAAGATCCTGAACTTAATCACGTCTGCAAAGTCCAAGATTTCAATACCTCCCTTACCCCTTCCCTGCTGCCATGTAAACAGCATTCACGGGTCTCAGGGACCAAGGCCCGATGGCTTTGGGGGCTGAGCAGCCTGCCGCACACACGGCAAGCTCCTGCCCTTTGCAGAGTGTTTGTAAACAGCTCCTTCCTGTAACTGGAAGGCCTTCCCTCCCCCTCTCTCATGGCATGGCCAGCCCCTCCTCCTTCTTGGGGACACAGCATACCTGGCACCTCCTCTGAGGTCCTGGCTCAGACCAACCCCTCCGTGGCCTGAAGAAGGGCCCCTCTACCTGGCACCTTTATTCATCTCTCTCTTGGCCGGCTTTTCTTTGCTGTGACAAAGTACCTAAGATAAAAGGAGGAAAGGTCACTTGTCCCTATTGCTTTGGGCCTTGGTGGCACTCAGTACCATCATGGCAAGGGGGTACATGTCAGAGGAGGCCGGTCACTTCCTGAAGGCCAGGAATTCCGAGAGAAGAAGGGTCCTGGATCCCAATATCCCCTTCAAAGGCATGTCCCCAGGGACTTAACTGCCCTGTATCCTGAAGGTCCCTCGCTGTCCCATGAGCACCACAGACTGGCAACCGAGCCTCTAGCGCCCCGGCCTCCAGGAGGCATTTCCCATCCCACACGACAGCCTCCCTCCCAGCGCTTACCGCAGTGGACCTGATTTTGAGACATTTTTCAATGGTCCTAATTTCTTCCTGCCTTTTCCTCCACCCTCAGCTAAGTGCCTGGAGGACAGGGAGTATGTCTGTTGTGTTTATCCACAGGTTGTCCCAACACCACTGGTCAATAAGTCCTTGCTGAATGGACTCAGGAAAGACGAATTTACACCCAAGATGGCGCTGCACGATTGGGCTGCTGTGTTCACTCCTCAGTGAGAGTAGCTCCATCCCCACCTCCCTCCAGACCCTCCGCACCAGAAAGCACAGGCCGGGCAGCAGCACAGCGCCCGTAACCAAGAGCCCAGGGGCTTGCCCAAGCTCAGAGCCCAGGGAGATGGCGCCATTGAGGGAGCCAGACACACTCGAAACCTTTCAGAGAGTCTGGACTCCACTGTGGCCAGCGGCCACCTGAGCCCATGCTCATTAAATGTAGCTAAAAATCCTTTCAGCAGGGCCCGCAGGAGAGGCCACCAGCAGAGGACAGCAGCCTGCAAATCTCCATCTTTGTCCTGGTAAAGACTCCTGCAGCCACTTGGAGAGAACTGAGGGAGGCCCTGGGGGCCTTTTCACATTTGCTCCGACTCTCAGTGGGACACCGTGAGGCTCAGGCACAGCTGAGAACTTCACACTGAGTTAGAGTCTCTAAGCTGAAGCCAAATGCGTTTTGATTGCCAGTCTATTTCTAAGAATTGCTTCTGCCTTCAGCAATAAATTATCTTGTTGAAAACATTCCTTTCCCCCATTTGAGAAGAACATTGTGCTTTAAAATTTGACAAGTTTTTGGAATATTTAAAAATGTGTGGTCACAACGAAGATGGCATTGGTAACGCAACAGTTTTCTCCTCGGTGATTATTTACAGGAAAAAGTTCGTCATCTTGGGGTTTATGAAAGTATCAACTGGGGAGAATAAAACAAAGTAGTTTACAAATATTAAGCCCGTTTTCACACATAATAATGTTTACAGTAATAACACATGTGCAGCACCTGACAGTTTACAAAGGTTTCTACGTGTATCATTTTGAAAAATCCAGAGAGAACAACCAACCACAGTGGTGCATACCTATCTATAACTCAGCTACAAGGGAGGCTGAGGCAATAGGATCACATGTTTGAGGCCAGCCTCAAACCTGTCTCAAACTTTGAAAACAAAAAATACATTAAAAGGCCTAGGGATGTGGTTAGTGCTATAATTCCCTGGGTGGATTCAATTTCAGTAGAAAAAAAGAGAGAGAGAGAGAGAGAAAAATAAAAGTATAGAAAGAACATTGCTTTGAAAGAAGGGTCTGTTTTTGCCCCTGTAAACTTCCAATCCATAACTATATATCCTGAAGCAGTCTGCACAAATGAAATGGAACCATCTCTTATGGAAATGTTTCCAAAGTCTGTTGTCAGAGTTCAGTTCAGAGGCATCAACCAGAAGCCTACTGGGGCCGTTTGGAATTCTGGCCCAGATTAATTTTTAAAAGCTGCATTTGGATGGGGAGCTAGTTCCAAAAGCTTAACTGAAGTGTAATTGATTTCACTGGAAATAAAAGTCCATGTGTATCCGAGCTGAAGCATGATCCTATTTTTCTTGCAAATCTAAGAATGTCTTAGGGAACAAAAGGCTGCCCCATGTCTCCCTCTAGCTCCGTCCTGGGCGGCAGAGCAGGGGAAGCTGTGGCCCATCCCATACCCAGGGCCAGGGCTGGGAGCCCTCTGGGTCTCCGCAGGGTAGTGGAGGAGGCAGGCTGGGAGCCACTGGGTGGATGAACCAGGAGGTGGAGGGGCAGAAAGCTGTCTCCTGGATGTACCTCCTCCGCTGACTGTGGGTCAGGACCGGCAGGCACTCAGCAGACTCCCAGGGTCCCACTGACCCCCACTCAGAACCCTGGCGGATTAGCTGGGCCCGGGCCCAGACTGGGAGGGAGGGGCTGCCCTCTTGTCCATCCCATGGATTGAGTCTGGGGCAGAACCTGAGAGCAGAAGTAGGCTTGGGGAAGTCCACTCTGAAGGGCACTGCGGTGCCTTCCTCCTGTGGAGTCGGGTGACCTGTGGTGCTCTCTGAAAACAGATTCATCCCGGGGCAGGACAGGGCTCTGTCTGAATGGGCTGCTGCCAATCCAGCTTCCAGGGTCCAGACCACAGCTTCCTCACCAACCAACTGAAATGAGCCTCGGCCTGGAAACATCAAAGCAAGAGTCTGCTGTCCCTGTAGCTGAGCTGCTGGGTTTCCTCCAGAGAGAGACTGTTGCCTCTGAGCCTGGAAAGGATAAAGGGAAGAGAAGTCGGATGGAGGACAAAATTAGAGCCGGGCTTTCAAAGGGAAGCTGCCACTTTGGCCACCCATGCCTGGGAGGGGCTGACCCCTTGGCCCGGCTGCGGCAGTCGGGGGAGGGAAGTTGGTGCTGTTTTTACCCTCGGTCACCCAGGGCGGCTCATGAATCATTCTGCACCATGAACAAGGCTCAGTGACGCTGCAGAAAGCAGAAAGAGTCCACCGCCCTGAGCCAGGCCGGCTGCAGACTTCCTCAGGCCGGCCCTTCTTTTTAAGGCAGCTACGGAATCGGTCAAGAATGCCACCATCAAATCCTGATACCTCCTCCCAAGCCCTGTTTGACAGGCAGCAAGCAGTATCCAAGCCCTTAAAATACCCACCTGACACTGGCTTGCTCCCTGGACACAGAATGTGACATTTCTGAGGACTGTGCAATGGTTTAAAAAAAATAATAAAAAAATAAAAACCACCCCCCCCCCATCCCAGGACCCAGTGACCTTGTAGGCTATGGGGTTCCACAATTTTACAGAAAGCAAAACCACTCCAGCCCAGGACGAATTTTCACAAACAGATTTGTGCTTGATATCATCATTTGATATCCACCTTTGCTGCCGCCTCAATGTACTTTTGGCAGAAAGAACAAAGTCTATATTAAAATAGGGGTCAGAGCTTCCAGGGACGGGGAGGTAAAAATACAGAAGCCAAAGGTCTTGCTCTAAGACGGCAGGCATGGCGGGGTCTGCATCCAGCACAGCCCGAGACTGCCCACCTCTCCCCTCCTCTGATCAAGGGCATTGCAAATGAGACTCCAGACTTGCTGGCTCTTTCAAGAAAACCCTGAAATATAGATTTGCATAGCAGATCTCTTACTGTTTTAAAATATCGGTACCCGAAACACAGACAGCAACATTCCCTCATAATGAGCTAGAGCAGGGTAACACTTTCTACTTATTGTCTGAGTGAGAAACAGATCCCTGGAAACAAGGAGGATACATCTCTGAAGTCGTGACTTGATGCTTTTTCCAAATGCATGAAGGACTGTGGTTTTAAATTGCACGGCTGTGGATACACTGAGCCCCAGCCTCCCCAGGGGGTAACCTCCAGGATCCAGAACTGCAGAGGATCCTCACCAGGGCAGGCATCAAGTTCTTTTCTCTTATTTTCATTCCTCAATCACACTCCCAATCCTACCCTGTTGCTGAACTTTTTGAGTAAGTACTCATGATTTTAAAACGAAAGAATGGATCTTCGATCAGAGACACCAAGAATTCTTTCCCAGCCAGAGATCCAGTTCCGTCACATGCAGAGCGACACAGAGTGTCAGAGTCAGAAGGGATTTTGAACGTGGTGCTGTGTTCCTCTCTCCCCTTTACCCACTTTGCAGATAGGAAAACTGAGGCTCGGAGGATTTCCCAGGGTCCTTACCAGACTTCCAGGATGGTGTCATTCTTTTTGAGGGCCTGCAGGAGGGCTTCTGCACCCAGGCGGGTGATGCCATTGTTGGACAACCTGGAGAAGAGGAGGAGATGGTGAGCTTCAAAGATGCTTGGTTTGCCTCTTGAGCAAACCAAGGCTCTCAAAATCTCCAGTTATAGGAGACTTTGAGAGTTAGCCGGCCTCCCTGAGCTCACCTGTGCCCTTAGAACATCCCTCTCCTCTCTGGGATTCCCAACCCTCCCCTTAGGAGGGTGCTGTAGTGGAATGGCTAAGTTCCTACATTTAAGGGGACTTCCAGGGTTCAAATCCAGCCTGCACCATCTCCTTTTTATTGTGTGGTACTTGAGACTGGACCCAGAGGGTACTCTGTCACTGAGCTACACCCCCAGACCTTTTTATTTTTAATCTTGATACAGGGTCTTGCTAAGTTGCTTAGGGCCTCACTAAATTGCTTCAAGTTAACCTTGAACTTAGGATCCTCCTGCCTCAGCCTCCAGTCACTGGATTCATAGGCATACCCCACCACACCCAGCACCATCTCCTTTTTGGTCTCCAGCAAATTTGTCTCACTTCCCATCTGTGAAATGGGCATAAAGGGGGACCCACCACATAGAATTGAACAAAGGATGGCATGGGGCACCGTGCCTGACTGTCAGAAAATATCAACAAGCTAATGTTTTCAGATCTGGGGAGGATTCAGGGCACCCAGGACCACAGGTTAGAAACCACAGGAGGCTGGAGATGAGCTCCAGCCCAGGTAGGAGGGGAAGAGCTCCGTGTTTCCCACATCACCCTTATGTTTAAAGCTTTGCCTTGTAGTACATCCACTCCCTGTCTCCCCTCCACCTGCAGCTGACCCTGAGGCAATGCTAAGCTGTTCTATAGGCCAGTTCATGATTATATCAATGAATGTGCCCAGCCCCATGAGGAGGGGCCAATTGCTATCCCCATTCACACTTGAGGCCACCCAGGCACCCATCCAAGGAGAAACAGCTGGCAGTGGGGGAGCTGGGATACCAACCCGGGCTGTCTGGCTGCCCAGCCTGGACTCTAACCAATGCTTGGCAGAGAATATGCTAGAAAAAGAAAGATGTGGGTCTCTCTCTCTCTCTCTCTCTCTCTCTCTCTCTCTCTCTCCACACCAGCAGCTCAGTTTTATGGGGAAACAGTGGGACATGATATAGTTCAGTAGTTCAGGATGCTCAATAATAAAGCTGGTGACAACGTAGCATGGGACAAGCACCCCACCCCCACCCCCTTGTCATGCCTGGCATCTGTGGGATAAGTCTGGGACAGTGAGGGAGGGTGAACTCGACACATCCACACCTGGTCACAATGGGCCAGGTACTGCCAAGGGCCCTGCTTTGTGCAAAGCTGGCATCCAGCTCAGGCAAATCCGGGCTGTGCCCAGGCCTCGCGGCCCACGTGATGAGTGGATGTGTTTCCCCCAAACACTGGCAACGTCCTGGCCCCTGCAAAGCAACCCAACACGCCTTGCCAGAGAGGACATGGTCTGGAGCAGAGCTGACGCTCATCCAGAGGCAGCCCAGCACCTGTGTCTAAGACAAGTGTGTTTCCTGAGCCGCGTTCACCAGGGAAGACCCCACCTTCCCCCGGTGGAAGAGGCAGCCATCTGTGGTGCCCTGAGGTCCCCGTGAATCGAGACCTTGGGCAGCAGCTGCAGATGCACTGACAGCCTGTGGGGGTCATTAAGTGGGCTACTGATGACACCCACTGTCCCTTAGGGTGAAACCCCAAGTCCTTGCGTGGCTCTGGGGCTTCCTCCCCCCGCCCCCTCCATCCCAGCAGCAGAAATCCCTCTGTTCCATGGGTCACCAGGGGAACTCCTGCCCCAAGGACGCGCTTCCCTGAGACCTCAGTATGGCAGGTGCTTTCCTGCGGCTCAGGTGTCAATTCAGACTCCGGGTTCTCAAAGAGGCCCTGCCCAAGAGCAGCAACCTCTTCCTGACCTTGTGGAATCAGAAATGACCTTGTCATTGGCTGGCTCATTATCTGTTTCCCCATCAGAATTTAAGAGGTGTTGGAGTGGGGGCTGCTCTGTCCTTATGGCCACTCTCCCCACGGTGCCCCAAGCAGGAGAAACCCTTCTCGTGTGACCACCTATGTAGGGGAATGTGGGCATGAAAGAATGTGTGCACAGGTGTCAAAGGACCGGGAGAGAGCACTCATGCGTAGACGCAGCACCTGTGCCCGCTTCACACAGTAAGAGAGACCCCTGGTGTCGGGCATCCAAAACGCCCAACCAGGCCCCGAGGGGTTGGCAACCTGCCCACGTCTGCTCCCAGGTTTCACCTCCAACTCTGAGGGCTGCTTGCCGGGAAGACCTGCCCCTCTCTGCCTGAGACCTTTCTCCGGCCCCAGGGGCACACTCAGCCATGAGGACGAGCTGGAGAATTCACATTCCCGCAAGCAAGCACACTGTTATGATTTGATGTGAGGTGTCCCCCTAAAGGCTCCTATTCATGCAGGAATACACAGAGGTCCAATGATCAGAATGTGATGGCTGTGACCCCATCAGTCCTTCCAGGTTTTGGGTGGCTGGGTGGTAACTCAGGCAGGTAGGGTGAGGCTGGAGGAGGCGGGTCCCTGGGGGAGGCTCTGGGAGGATGCATCTTCCCTGCAATCCCTTCCCCACCCCCTCTGCTTCCTGACTGAGCAGAGGGTTCTCCTCCTCCGGGCCCTTCTCCCATGATGTGCTGTCTCACCTTAAGCCCAGAGCAATGGAACTGGTTGTCTGGGGACTGAAACCTCCAAAACCGTGAGCCCCAAACAAACTTTCCATCCTCTAAGCTGTTCTAGTCAGGCATTGTGATCACGGTAATGCAAAAGCTGACTAATGCAATGCCTTGCTGCACAAAGGACAGGTAGTGGGTGGACAGATGCCCCTGCTTCCTCATCCACTGGTTGGGAGGTGACCAGGCATGTTCTACCCTGACTCTGGGAGGTCCTAGCAGCAGGGAGCTCCAGTTCCTTACTAAGCACACTCATGGGTTTCCGTCCGTCCGTCTCTGCCTGACTCCACTGCTCTCCCATCAAGCTTGCTGACACCATGTCCCAGGTCAACAAGTTGCACCAGGATCCTTATCCACCCAGACCAGTACAACTGTTTTCAACCAGGCCACCTCGTGTGGACTGGGAAGCTGCCCAGATCTCAGATCCAGAAACCCGCTCCTCAGGCCAGTCCTTACCACCCCAGCTCCTGCTTACAGGGTCCTTACTTCAGGACTTTCAAACTGGAATTTCTCTTCAGTCCTTCTGCAAGAAAACACACACCTTCATCCAGGAGATGGTTCTCCTCCAGACTGGCAAGAGAAAGAGAAAATCCCATTGACATGATAGCACTTATTATGGAATATGATGTCAGTAATCCACATCCAACATCCGAAAATCTAAACCTACAAATAAGGTAAGGACAGATAAGGTAAGATTAAGGATTCTCAATTCCAGGGACATCTTTGCAAGAGAATTCACTCCAGGGCTCTTCTATATAATAAACTCCTTCAGGTCCTGGCTCTCTCATATCCATGGAAACCTCCTTTCATTTTGGGCAGTCATAATCTTACTGGTAAAAAATATTTCCCACTCTCTAAAGAAACCAGGGTTGGCTAAGTTACAAATACATGGTCACTGATACATAGGAGAAGTTGACAGTTGAGCCTTCCAGGAATGCTTTTGAAAGGTGAGAGTCACAGCTGGCCTGTGCTTTTCAGGTTTGTAGACTAAGTCCTGGAATACAGAAGTAATAGATGCAGGTGGAGCAACTGTCTTGTGATGATGAGGCAAACAACCTTGAGGATGAAGCCACAGGAAAATAAAGAATATTTAAAGGATAGAGACAGAGTCAAGGCCTCTGCTACCTTTAGTAGCCACCATAACAAAACTGCTTACCTCCAGACTACTTATACATGAAAAAACAAATCCTTTTCTGGTATAAGCCTTGTAGATGGATCCCTTGCATCCTAATGCAGTGTTAAGTTAAACTAAATTTGGCCTGACGTTGCCTCCATACTTTGAGTTCCTTTGTAGCTAACTGCAACCTAACTCAGTACACAAACAAACTGCAAACCAAGAGAATATTCGTGTAACAAATAGCTGAATCTCAGCCAATCATAGCAGCTAAGCTTCAGCCAATCACAGGCTGCTAATTCATCACACTGTGTCCAAATAAAACCAATGCCGAGCAGCGACCAATCAGGCTGTATGTCACTTCCTTTCCCTGTCTGTAAATCCTGTGTATCCATGGTTGGATGGCGCTCTTTGAACCTCTCCTGGTTCTAAGTGCTGCCCAGTTCATGAATCAGTCTTTCTTCAAATTAATTCTGCTAAAATGAACTTGTCTGAAGTTCTTTTTTTTTTTAACACTAATCATAACTGATATGCTCACAGGTGCCACTCCACCAAGAAATGATAAGGGGAAAATCCAATCAGGATTCAATCAGTGGTACTTTGGCAGAACTAGTGAGCCCTGCCAAGAGCCGTGACCCATCCTCAATATCCATTTTCTGGCAAGGTTTATGTGGTTCAGTGCTTTTTCTGCTTCCTGGAAAAATGTAACATTAAGCATGTTAGCTCCCTGATATAATTTGGAACTACAAAGACGACCCTGGAACTGAAGACTCTGTTAACAATATCTATAGGATGGAAAACTTGGAAGTCTGCTTCAGGTCAACAGCATGAGCACAATTCATGGGTCACCTTTCAACTCCCCCAAATTCCATTCACCTTCCAAGGTGACCCCTAATTCTAACACTCAGTGTTCTTAGGAATTCAGATTCACTTTGAAATAACAAAACTCGGGCTGGGATTGTAGCTCAGTGGTGGAACGCTTGCGTAGCATGTGTGTGAGGCACTGGGTTCAATTCTCAGCACCGTATATAAATAAACAAGTAAAATAAAGGTCCATCAACAACTAAAATATATATTAAAAATATATATAACCAAACTTCATCATTAGCAGCTGTCATAGTATGAGTAGTAGCTGTAGTCATAGCAGCAGCTGCCACCATAGTAGTGGTGACTTCAGTGCCGCGATGTTTAACATCTGTGGTGTGCTCACCCATATGACAGGCACTATATTAAGCTCTCACAGGCACTACCTAACAATTTTTATACACATATTTTTATAGTTGGAAACATTCTCACTCTCATCTTACAGGTGAGAAACCTGAGTTTCAGAGACTGTTATTTAACCTGCCTAAGATTACAGCCTCCTTGATGCCAGAGTCTGCACTCTTACCCATTTTGCTGTGGGAGGACAGTAAACAAATCAGTAAAGTAATAAAAAGTATTAAATGAAAACAAATCAGGAGCTAGACATCAGGATCTGTGAGCTTCATACCTCTCAAGACATAAAAAGACAAAATCCATCCATCACTCAGTCACCCTCTCTCTGTCCTATGCACACAGCTGCTCTTTGGATGTGGCCAGGCAATCGAGAAAGGCTGTTCTCTTCCTCCCCAGAGCAGAGACAATCCCCCGAACTCACCAGAGTTCTTCTAGGGCCACATTCTTTTCCAACATCAGGGCTAAGGCTTGGGCACCCGCACGGCCAATGTTGTTCCCCACCAGGCTGGACATGGTCATGAAACAGAAAGGCATCAGAGCGGTGAGAGACCTCAGAGACCAGCTAACCTACGGAGAGCAACACGGATGGCACACGTAGCCCACTGACCCGGGGTGCACTAGTGGATCCCAGCGCTCCTCAAGCCCGGGAGCAGCCTTGGAGATCCTTTCTCACGAGGGACACTGTACAGCCACGACCGGTGGATTGCAATTGGTCTTTTAAGATACCATATGACTGATTTGGCCTAAGATCCTCAATTTTGCAGGTGGAGAAACAACTTCTCAAGAGGAGAAGAGTCATCTCCAGAGTCACCGGGAAAGCCTCAAGTGCCCCAACTCCAAAACCAATGGTCTTTCTTCCCCCCCCCCACCACCTAACACCGAGGGATGGAAAGAAGTTCAGCCACCTTCAGGACTGGCCTGGTCTCCTTCCTCTTCACTTCCCATCTCCCTATGAAAAAATGCCAGGCGGACCTTGCAGCTTACCTGAGCCACTTCAAGCTCTGGTGGTCATCTAAGGCCTCGGCCAGGGCCTGGGCACCGTTGTCACCCACCTTGTTACCCCAGAGCCTGAGAGGACCAATGGAGTCAACAGATCGTTAGTGGATACCTGCTGTGGGTTCTAGAACTGTCCTCATGTTCGCCTGCCCCCTGAAGCCCCAGCCAGAGGGGCAGGACCACCCAATCCCAGAGAGTTCTCACGGGGACACAAAGTTCTCACTTGGGTCCCAGCATAGTGGACCTGCTGCCATCTTTTTGGTGGGATGGCCCAACCTCTCTCAGATTTCAGTGGCCTTAAATCACAGACTTAAAATACAGGAGAGGCCCAACCATCCCAGACCTTCAGGGACATGGAACCCACCCTCAACAGCAGCTCACAGAGCTGTGACATTTTCCCAACACTGAGTCCAGATTTACTTCCTGGTAGCTGCCACCCACGTCTGTAACTAGCCCCAGGGACCACCCAGGGCAAGTCTACCTCTTTTCCCACAAGTCAGCTCCATGTCTCTGTTCTTCTTAGCACCCCCAGCTCCTTCATGGTGTCCACCCTCTCCCCTCCTGGGTCGTCCCCTCTGACCCACTTGGTTTGTTTTAACTCTGTTGCTACCAATGCAGCCTGAACAGGTGCTGGTTTCTAGAACAACCTGCCTCCAACTGAGCTGGCGGGCAACTTGTCTGCTTGTGAAGTGGTTGGAAGAGCTGAGCCCTAAAGTTTTCCTCTCTTCTTCAGTCTCAGATCCCTGTTCTTGTCAAATGTACAACAGTTCACATGGGACAGCCGAGGGACGGCTGGGGACAGCAGGAGTGACACCCTAAAGAGACGGATGCTCTGCCCAGCAACCAGGGGAAGCCCCACCCTGGAGCCCTGTGGGGTGTGGGCTCCTCTCACAGTCAGTGGATGATCCCCCTCCCCTTCCTGGCAGGCGCCAGCTTGGCCCTACTGCCAGGGCGAGTGCTCAAGAGCCGAGGCGGCACACTCCCATCCTTCCCACTTCCCTCCCTCCAGGTCAGGGCCCTCACAGAGACCCACACCCCGGGTATGTGCATGGCATTAGTCTGGGATGGGGCCCTGGTGATGGTGTCTTTCAGAAGCACAGAGTGGTTCCAAGATACAGCCAAAGCACAGCCCTAAGCACCCCAAGGACCAGAAGGCTTCCTGTCCAGGTTCAGGGTGCTGCCTCCCCCGGCCCTGACATCCTGAACTTCCTGCTTATCAGATGAAGCAGGCACAGAGGCAGCTGAGAGCCACCCACTCACTCCTCCGTTGGCCCTTCCCCCAGGGGGCCCAGCCCCCCTCTGGGGCCCGACAACTGGTGGTTTTGACCTGCCCTACATTCTTGGAAGTCCCCAGACTCCTCCACGCGGACCTATCTGTCCCAGAGTCCAACCTACCCCAGGAACTGCAGGGAGGCATTGCTTCGGAGCCCCTGGGCCAGCACCTGGGCCCCCGCTGCGGTGATGTGGTTGTTCCCCAGCCTGGAAGGGAAGACAGGAGGCTGAGACACAGCAGAGGGCAGGGGACGAGGCTCCGCAGGGCCAGGGGCAGGGAGGCCTGGCAGGAAAGCCCTGAAGACCGTGCCAGAGTGCAGCAGCTACCTGCTCACTCAGTGGCTCCAACTTTGTTGTCCCCAGCCGAAGGAAAGTGGAGGAGGAACTATTTGGTGACATAGTGTGACAGGTCTGGGCAGGAGCCATAGCAGGCAGCTGTCCTGGGAGGTAGTTTTCCCAAGAGCTGAAGACGACTCTGTCCCACCTTTCCCAGTCGTCTCAGTCACCCCAGCACGTCCCTGCTGACATGCACAGACCACTTTGCCACAGGTACTAGTTACCTCTTCTGCAAGATCTGGGGCAGGCTCAGGCAGTGGGAAGAGGGAGGAGCCTCTGGGCATGTACATTGCCAACCCCCAAAGAGACACAGGGGAGTGTTGGGGCAGGAGGACGGTCTGGTCCCAACCAGAAAGAGTCCAGCTGAAGCCAAATTCAGGTATGTCCAAGAGTGTCAGAAAAACCCCAGAGCTCTCTCCCACCCAGCACTTCCTGGAATAATCAAAATATAATTTCATCTGTTCAAAGAACTCTAAGTCATTCTGACTCAACAGCCTTGCAGGGTGGGCACTGTTATTCCCTTTAAGAAGGGGTGCAGCACCATGACACGGCACCTCCCCGACCTCCAGCCTCAGCTCCCTGCAGGCAACCAAGGCCCCAGAATCCATGCCCTTCGCCTTGGCACCAAGGCCCAAGGCTTCCCACAAGGGGCTCCCTCCCAGTGACCAGAGACACCAGCCAGCCCCATGGATTTGGCCTGAGGTGCCCTGATGGCCTTGCTGAGCTCTCTCGGAGCTACACTGAAGTACAAGCTTCTTCAGCCTCCCCAGACCCCTCCCCGTTTCCCCTTGGACACATTTTCCCCAGCAAATCTGATGGCCGTGCAGTTCCTTCCTGGAGACTCACAGAAGACTCGCAAGCTGTGAGCTTACATAACGTGCCCACGATCTTTCAGTGGCTGAGCTCACTACACAAAGCACTCACTGTTCTGCATGAGATCTTCATGCATAATAACTCGCTCGACCACCACAACAACCTCAGAGGGGGCTACAATCATCATCCTCATTTTCTAGAAGGGGAAAATGGAGGCCCAGAGACATCTACCAGGCTGACCCAAGGTCACACAGCTAATGAGGATTCAAATGCCAAGGGTTCCTAGAGTCAAACTGTGGGCAGCTCAGCTCTAGAGCCTCTAGTTTCAAGTACTCTGATGCATTGACCAGAAACCCAGGACTTCAAATGCGGGTACAGCACCCCAGTGCCACCTGCAGCCCTCCCTGGGCAGGTAACCAGGTCAGTCTGGGGGAGCAGGTGGTAATGACAGAATAGAGTCTTTTGTGCAAAATGGCACCGGTGGCCTTGGTGTCAGCAGCTCCAACTAGCTCCGACTGAGACGAGCTACAAAGCCAAGTTTAAAAACAGTAGCTTCCATCCCCAAACCCAGCCCAGCCCAGCAAGTGAAAATAATAGATTCTTTCCACAAAGCAATGCTTTACTTTGTCTTCCTTTAAAGCCACACACATGACAGGAGGCAAGAATAACCAAAAGCCAGGGGGGTGGGGGGGATGCAAAATGGCAACTGGGAGGAGAGAGACTCCAGTTGAGGCCCGGAGGTTCTGCAGCAGCAGCCGAGCAGAGCTCCTGGGGAGTACAGACCTTGCCTGCTCCAGCTGGTGACAAGACATTCCAGGAGCATTTCAGCCAATGGCTGGGGCAGCACTGGGGCAAAGATGGCACATGTCTCCCCCAGCAGGACGCCCTCAGTGTCCATCAGGAAACCTGGTAACCCCAAAGAGCCTGGGACACTCTTAGACACAGGGAAGGACAAGGCCTAGAAACTCTTCTTTGCCCCTGAGCAGAGCTGGTCCACAGGAGATCAAAACAGTGCGGGAACCCAGCTCACAATGACACTGCCCTGGGCTCAGTCAGGAAGTCACAAGCCCACCGTGGGCCGGGCCAGGTAGACCCAGACCCCACCAAAAACTACCTTCCAGGGAGCAGGAACACCCAGGGCTTACCTCAATGCCAAGAAGTCCTGCTTGCATGCGAGGAGTGTGGCCAGGGAGTGTGCACAGCCGTCAGTCAATTTGTTGTTGAACAAACTGTGATGTCCCAGGAGAGAGGAGATGTGGAGGTGAGCCCTGTGGCCAGTGAGCCCTCAATCGGCACCCGCCAGCCATGCAGCACCCCTCCCCCAGCCCCTCACACTCTCGGCTGCCCAGACAGAGTGGCCTGGGATGAGCCTGGGGGACCCAAGGCCCCCCATCCACAGCCCAGCCCAACTTACGCTAACTTCTGCAGGTGCTCACAGTGAAGAGCGTGCTCAATGAGCCTGCAGAGGCCTCGGTCTGAGATATCGTTATCGCGCAAACTGAAAAAGATGGAATGAATCAATGGAAAAATGGAGCTAACTCAGGAAGAAAATGCACAGCACCCCCAAAAGAGAGTCTTGCTCACATCCCCAAAGTGCCAGCATATGTGCTTCTGGGAACCACCACCAAGACAGAGCACCCCGGAAGCGTGGAGACCCCCCAGCATTCCTGGCCAGGTGGCTGACTATGGTGGGGACGGCCCCGGGGATTCAGAGTCCCTAATGAAGAGCACTGGAATCCTTGGACAGTGGCAGGTCTAATTCCAGGCCCCATTTCTATTTCTGCAAAAGGACGATGGTCATCACAGCGGCTCACTGAAGGGTCCCAGTGGAAAGAGGCTGATCTGTACCAGATGGGCCAACCCTTAGGGCAGCGATGGTCACCACCTTCTAGTTAGCAGACTGTGGAGAGTTGGATGAGACTGGCCCCAACCAGTGCATAACAGGTTGTAGATAGTGCAGCCTCTCTGGGCTGTCCTTGACCCAAGGACACTACTCCTGAAGGGCAGATCCTGCCTAGCAAGCCCCCTCTAGCTCACCTGACCATGAGCTCATCTGACCGCTTCCCTAAAATATAGATTCTTGGGCATCGATCCTGAACTGGTGCTTCCATACACGTGGGGTGGGGCCCAGAGGTCCATGTATTTTAACATCTGTGCAATGATTTTTTAATCCGCAGACAATGGCCCTGACTCAGTGGTTATCAGCTCAGGCACTAGAGTCCCTCATCGGGACATTCCGATCCTGACCAGGCTCTTACTGGCTATTTTCTGTTTCTTTCATCTACAAGAAGGGAACGATCACGTTATCACCCTCTCCAGGCTGTACACACAGCCCTGTGAGCCCCTGGCACATGGTACGAGTCACCTGTCATCAGGAGCACTGGCACGTATGGAACATTCTGTGTGCCTGTCCTGGCATTTCCCAACAGTAACCTGATCCTCACCCCAAGCCCTTGGAGCAGGCACTACTATGATGCTCATTAGAAAGAAACTGAGGCACAGACACGTGAAGCGACTTTGCTAAAGCTGCACAGCACCTACAGGGTTGAGCTTAAGTGGGCTGCTCCAAATCCCACCCCTGTCCACCACACCGTGGGGCCCCCCTTGTGGCCTCGAATGGCTGCCCATTCTAGAGAAGCGGTTTTCAGGCTGCAGGTCGTGTGACCCATTAGTGTGTCACAGAACCAATTTTGAAGGTCCTGAGCAGCATTTTTAAAACTGAAATAGGACAGAAGAAGAGAGCAGAGCGTCTCAGAGCTCACGAGGCAAAGTCATCTCATGAAGCTTCTCATTTAGAAGTTCTGAACGCGGGTGCGTCTACTTACGGCTTCCTCTCACTGTGGGGTTACCGTCAAAAAACTTTGAAACCCATCACCCTAGAGTCAGAGGGAGTCAGGGTGTAAAGAACCCTGCATCGGGTGCTTCACATCCAGGGTTTCCTAGAGGCTGAGGGCTGCAGTTGGCATGGAAACTCCTCCAGTGGAGAGATGCAACCTGGCGCTGTGGGAGAGGAGCTTGGCCCCTCGCCCCCACGCATCTCTCTCTCTCTCTCTCTCTCTCTCTCTCTCTCTCTCACACACACACACACACACACACACACACACACAATTATGCCCAGGAAGCAACCTTCTAGTTGTGCGTAGGATAAAGAACAATGGATCTTGGTCGAGGGCCTGAACCACTGGTTCACTTCCTGTTTCTATGATGAAATCTCTCCCAGAACTAACACATAAAGAGAAAGGAGTTATCTGGATACACAGTTAGGAGTTCCAGTTCATGGTCCATGGGCCTTGGTTGCTGTGGGGACGATGGCAAGGCAGCCACTCATGGCAGAAAACATTCTTAACATCATAAGCCAAAGAGCAAAGAGAAAGAGACAGAGGCTGGGTCCCACAGTCCGTCTGCCTCAAGGGCACGCCTCCAGAAATCTGCAGACTTCCTACAAGGCCCACTTCTGAAAGGTCCTGCCATCTCCCAGTAGTGCTACTCTGAGGACAAAGCTTTTCCACACGTGGACCTTTGGGGAATACTTATCCAAATGGTGGCGACTGCTAATGGAGACATCAAGCTGGTTCCTCCAGACCAGGGGTTCTCGGTGTGAGAGCAGCTGTGACAGAATCACCTGCAGTGTGTGGGACAGCTGTAGATACCGAGGCCATCCACTGAATGGGAGTTACGAGGGGCAGGCCCGGAAATCTGCACTGCATCAGTTAACTCTGCACACTGTAGTCTGAGCACCATGCATTGGAAACAGCCTGCCTGACCTTTCTCTGAAAATAGAGACAGACCCACAGCTTCCCTAAAGCCCTTTTATTTATTTATTTTTTGATACTGAGGATTGAACTCAGGGACACTTGACCCCTGAGCCACCTCCCCAGCCCTATTTTGTGTTTTATTTAGAGACAGGGTCTCACTGAGTTCCTTAGTGCCTCGCTAAGTTGCTGAGGTTGGCTTTGAACTCACGATCCTCGTATCTCGGCCTCCCAAGCCTCTGGGATTACAGGCGTGCGCCACCACGCCCAGCTCCCTACCGCCCTCTGCACACCACATGGGAACACTCCTGATCAGTCAGAGAGGACCCACTGAAGAATTCCAGGGACGGATTGGTCCATGAGGATCGTTCTGGTCTCTTGGGATTCAAGAACTCCTGGGAGAACCAGCTTAGCAGACGGACGGGCCTCCCGACTCCCCAGCCAGAAGACCACACCTCTTCCCTCCAGAGGAAGTGCCAGATGCTCTGCCTCCCTTCTCTGCCGGGCTCTTGGTCCTGGGAGGCTGACGTCTGTGGCCATCAGCAGCAGGAGCAGATCTGCCTCCTCGGTGGTTCAGCAGAGGAAGGCACTGACCAGAGGCACTGACCAGGGCCAAGCCTGACTCTCCTGGAGCCCAGGTGGCTCAGGATGCCCTGGCCACTCCTTCCTCTCAGCTGATAAGTCCACCCTCCCTGAGCCTCAGGTCCTTCCCCACCACCACTAGCCCCAGGACCTGCTCCATTCCCCTTGGCTCTTCGTGACCCCTGCAGACAGCCCCTTTATTAGACTCTCCTCAGCTTATCCCAGTTTAAGTGTGGGATCTGTTTCCTCCAAGACCACAACAGGTACAGCCATACTTACATTCTATATTAATTGTACATAAGACACATGATACTATGGATGATTAACTACCCATAATCTATGTTACGTGATTAACTTATGACCACAGTCCCTATCTAGGGGCTAATGAAAGCCAATGCACAAGTTCAAGTAGATTCCATGTGTTTGTTTCATGGAGAAAAAAAAGGCTTGCTGATTTGCCTCAGAGAAGACACATCCCCTTCATACATTCAAGGAGGGTCTCTCACCCTTTGCTTGGGGTCAATAAAGGTCACTGAAAGTAGCCCCAAAGCCCCTGAAGATTGTGAACAGATTTTAACTTCCGTCTACAACTTTTTGCTTTTTCCTGGGTTCTACCGAATTGCAGTGCTCCCTCCCCTGGGTATTGCTGAAATCCCACCTGCACACTGCACTACCTGATAGGAAAAAAGTGGGCCACGTGGGGCACAGTGGCACACACTTACATTCCCAAAAACTTGGGAGGCTGAGGCAGAAGGATCACCAGTCAGAAGCCAGCCTGGGCAACCTAAGCGAGACACTGTCTCAAAATAAAAATCAAAAGGGCTAGGGAAATTGATATGCCTGTAATCCCAGCAGCTCTGGAGGCTGAGGCAGGAGGATCGCAATTTCAAAGCCAGCCTCAGCAACAGTGAGGCGCTCAGCAACTCAGTGAGACCCTGTCTCTAAATAAAATACAAAAAGGGCTGGGGATGTGGCTCATTGGTCGAGTGACCCTGACTTCAATAATGCCCCCCACCCCCCCAAAAAAAACTCTGCACATGACCTTGAGGTTTTCCTAGAGCCTTAGAAGTGCATCCACAGAGATGAGATGGAGAGCAGAAAATTGATTGTCAGAAAAATGTGAAACCCAGTCTGCAGTTTCCTGTGTGACTGTCTCTCTTTTTTAAATATTTTTTTCAGTTGTAGGGGGACATGATACCTTTTTTTAAATTTTATTTTAAATATATGGTGAACCCCGGGCCTCACACTTGGGAGACAAGTGTTCTACTGCTGAGCCCCAGCCCCAGCCTGTGACTGTCTCTATTTGTTGGTTTGTTTTCATGGCACTGGGGATTGAACTCAGGGAGTGACAAATGCTAGCCGCTGTGTGACTCACTTCACTGTCTGAGCCTCAAAACAAGGACAAGGGGGATAATAACGGCCCTGCCGCCGGCGCAGAGTGGCTGTGGATATTAAGTGAAATCATACTGGAAAGCGCAGCAAGCACCGTACCTAGCAGATGGGACATTGACTAAGGTGTGGCTGTCACATATTGACACTAAAGCCCAGAATGGGGAAGGGTCTGGCCTGTGTCGTACCAGGGGGTGCGCCTGGACATCTGGATCCCAACGGGCACTCCCACACTTAACTTTGCGGTCCTGTCCCCCCCGCCATGCCCGACCAGCCATGCCAGCCGCACTCACTAAAGAGCCTTGCAGATACCCAGGCAAGGCAGCAGCTGCTCCACGCCAATGTCACCCACAGAGTTATAGTCCAGCTGCAGGGCCACGGGCCGCTGGAGGTGCCGCAGCACAAAGGCCAGGGCGGCACACTCGGCGGGGCCCACCCTGCAAAACGTCAGCTTGAGGTGCCCGACATCCAGCCCGCGCACCGCCTCCCGCGCCAGCCGCTCCTCCTGCATCTCATACAGGCTCCGGATGAGCCAGATGAACCCGGGCATGGCGTGCATGCTCTTGGCCTCACCCGGCACAGCTGGTGGGATGGACTGGAAGTGCTTGCGGAGGCTGCGGGATAGACAGCGGCGAGTACAGGCTCGTCGGCGCCGGAGCAGAGCCTTTTTGGACACCTGGCACAGAGCCAGCAGGTCCCGGTGCTCCTGGGACAGAAGCCCTGCCAGGAAAGCTGCTGTGATCTGAAGGTTGTGCGGCTCGGCCTCCTGCAGCAAAGCCACCACGCTGCCCTCCTCACACCCGGAGCCCTGGACGCACAGTGTGGGCAGCAGGCGGGCCAGTGGAGAGCTGCCCGGCCTGTGGCAGTTGAAGAGGCGTCTGAACGAGGCTACGGGCACGTCAGGGCTCAGCGCCAGGTAGATGGCCGCAAAAAAGCACTGGAAAGTAATGTGCAGGAATTCCAGGGCTGGCGCGCTCCCTGGCACCACCCGCTGGGCACACACCAGGAAGCCAAGAGAAATGTCATCAGGGTCCACCTGGGCTGCCTGCAGCTGCTGGGCAGAGAACACGTAGCAGCACAGGCCCAGGCCCCAGAGAGCCAGTCGACCAAGGTGCAGGAGGGTGGAGAGCCTGCCTCGGAAGAGGCCGGGTCCCCGGACGTGGGAGGCCACGTCTGGCGGGGAGGCACGCAGCAGGAAATGCTGCAGGATCAGAAGGTACATATCTGTGGTGGTCTTTGGGGACCCCGTGTCCTGCAGCAGCAGTTCCTGGTGGCATCTGGACACCATCCATGAGAAAACAGGAAGATGGCATAAGCCGTACAGGGCTGAGGTCGCTTGGAGCAGGTGGAGGAGGCGGTCGGCCATCCCAGGCTCAGGATGGCACCTCCTCAGGTAAAGCTCGATGGCCTCCTTTGAGAAGCCCCTCAGGTGGCACTCGGTGCACACGTACTTCCTGAGGAGGGCCGACACGGCGTCTGGACGGCTGGTCAGCACCTTGCGAGCGTTCTTGAGCAGGTTGCCCTGCAGGAGGTTGAAGAGCAGAGTGGGGACGGACGTGGGGTCCGACGGGGAGCAGTGGCGCTCGCCATCGGTGAACCTGAACCTGAACTCGTCGAAGCCGTCGAAGGTCAGCAGGACGCGGTCGGGGTGGTCGAGGAGGAACTGAAAGACGTCCTGCTGGCCCGCATCGGGCCAGCAGCAGTGCTCAAAGATCAACGTCCTCAAGGACAGCGGTTTGGTCACGCACTGCAGCTGCCGGCAGCTGAACGGGAAGACGAAGAGAAAGTCCTGGAAGTGCTGCCCAGTCGCCCAGAGCAAGTGCAGCCGCTGCAGGAGTGTGCTCTTGCCGCTGCCCGCCTCGCCCACCACCAGCACGGTGTCCGCGTCTTTGTTGAGGTGTCCCTGGGCTCTGAAGAGCTCCTCCAGGCCCAGGGTGGCGGGGCTCTTGTGCAGGGCCCCGGCCGTGCCCACCTCCGTGCGCAGCTCCAGGGTGTTCTCTGTGTACACGTCGTCCAGGCACAGATTCTCCGCGCCGTCGTAAGTGCTGAGGCAGCGGGACTGTGCGGACACCGTGCTCCTCAGCTTGGAGGCGTACTTCCGGCAATCTGCAGCTGGAAGACAGCAGAAGAGCAGATGAGGACGAGACTGTGGTCAAGGTGGGACCCGGCCAGAGCAGGCTGCACGGAGGAACGTGCTGATAGGAGAGAGGGGCCAGTGGGCACCCATTAGCTGGGGACTTCGAAGACAGCCACAGAACCTTCCTAAACCTTAGTTGCCTCCCCTGTGAAGTGGGGAGACTGGCGGTCACCACCTTATGGAACTTTACCACGCATCGACTGAGATAACGTATGTCCGATGCCAAGAACAACGTCCCTCGCAAAGTAAATGCTCCAAAGACATCAGCCAGTGCCCTGACTACTACTGGCTCCAGACTGACTGTGGGGAGTGGGCTCGAGTCACGAGACCTGTGTTCTGATGCTGTTCCCACCGTGTTGGCCGGGTGGCTTCACACAAGTCCCCTCACCACTCATCTTCAGTCGCCTCTTCCTGCAGGGAAGCAGGATCTAAGGGCTTAGGATTCTGCAGTCAGACACACCTGGGTTTAAAACCTGGGTCCAGGGGCTGGGGTTCTGGCTCAGGGGTAGAGCGCTTGCCTAGCACGTGTGAGGCACTGGGTTTCATCCTCAGCATCACATAAAAATAAATAAACAAGCAAATAAGATGAAGGTATCGTGTCCATCTTTACCTAAAAATATAAAAAATAAAAAATAAAAAAACCTGCATCCACCATTCATTTGGGGACACCACCTAACCTGTCCAGGCCTTGGTTTTCTGATCTATAGAAATGGGAACAATCCACATCTTGAAGAATTGTTTCAGGAGCAGTGAGATGAGTGGGGTTTAGAAGGATATCTGGCACTTGGTAAACAACCCAAAAGTGGTATTCACTGTTATCATTACTGGTACAGGCACTGCAGTGGCCCCCGGCCAAAGATGTCCTCATCCTGATTCCTGGAGTCTGTGACTACGTTCCCTTACATGGTAAAAGGGATTAGGTGGCTGCAGTGAGAGGAACCTGCAAAAATCTGAGTGGGCCTGGGCACTGGAGGGCCTCAAGGACACCGTGGTTCCCAGGCCAAGCACTCAGACAAGACCCCCCGATTCTGCCTGAACGTCCCCATCCTCCTCTTGTCCCCTCTGCAGGGAGAGTTCGCGTGCCCAGGGTGCATCCAGAGGGCTGATGCTTTCCTTTATCATCCTGGTTCCAGTGTGTGCAAACCACTTCCTGTGTGAGGGGTCAGTTCCTCTTTTGGGAAATAGAGAAGTGCCAGTCCCAAGAGCTAGGCTGGTAGGACATCAGCACCGCTTACATCATCAGAGTCGCACTGCCCCCAACCAAACTGGCCCGCTTGTTCTCGACCCAGGAGCCAACAGGTAATTTTTGCAGAAAGCTCTCAGCTCAATGAATTTTGCAGTTGCTCTGTGTCTATGTTTTTTTATGTTTTATTTTTTGGTCATTTTTAAGATGGAATCTTGCTGTGTTGCCTAGATTGGACTCCAACTCTTGGGCTAAGTGGTCCTCCTGTGGCTGGGACTACAGACACGTGTCACCTCTTTTGCTCCCAGAGCTTTGCTTACTGTTGCTCTTTCTGTCCTTTGGCTATATCAGGAGCACTAAGCAGACACCAGAAGCTATAGACCTTTCTTTCCAATACCCTGACTTCCATCGCAGATTCACAGCCATGGTTAACGACACCAAATTCCTCAAAAAAAAAAAATTCTCATTTTAAAGATATCAATAGACATATCACTTGTCACCTTCAGCAGCACCTGCCCCCATGGCACGGTGTCCCCAGTGCCTGCCTCGCCAGCTATGCTGGATGATATCAATAATCATTAACCAAGGGACAGCTGGGTACTGTGCATTGATGTCTCTATCCTGCTCTTGAAGGAGCTGACACACAGCCACATGCCAAGCACAGGCCTGCAGCCATCCTGCCCTCAGGCCCGCTCGCTGCTGAGAGGCCAGGACTCAGGGTGAGAAACCCATCTGTCAGCACCAGGCACACAGCTCAAGGGCCTTCAGTGCTGATGAGCTTTGCCTCTCGAGGCTGCTGGAACAAGACTCAGGGAGCGCCCGGCTTGCATCTTCTCTTTACAATGGAAGATTTCTTCTCCCCTCAAGACAGTGCAGGTGAGGACAGTTTGCAGTCACACCCGTCTCCACTGCTTCGTCACTTAACCTGCCTGCCCAGTTTCCACATCTGTAAAGTGGAGGAAACACCTAATTCCCAGGGTTATTGCAAAGGGCATTTATTGTCTGGTGTGTGGTAGCTGTGTGCATAGGCCTCTCCCATTCCTGGGTGGGGTTGGTGAGCATGGGCACTGAGAGGTGCCACGTTCCCTAAATCCACTTGGTCCCTGAGGTTCTGATCATGAGTAGCTACATTTCAGAGATCAAGAGATACCCAGCCCACCTCTAAAAGTGAATCTGGATCTTCTTAGTGCAGATTTCAAGAGTTGGCACAGTAAGGAGCTCTGGTGGTTAGCCCTTACTTCATGGCAGCTCCAATAATCACGATGCAGCACAGGACATGATCAAAGCTAAGGGACAAGGTCAATAATTTCATCCTTTCATTCCCTCCCTGCAAGCCCGATGAGTCCGGGAGCCATGTTAGCTTTAAAATGAGGAAACTGACTCTCGTGGGAGGCTGATGCAGAGCCAATATGTGGGTGCCAACGGATGCATGCTCTGCTCTTAACCATGAATCTGCGCTGACTTCCTTTCCCTTTCCGACAAACTGAGAAGAACAAACACATACCCACTAAAGGCAGGGGCAATGGGACTGGTAACTCCAGAATGTGCCGGAGAAGGAAAGCAGCCAATCCATTTGCCTTCACTGCGGCAAGATCAAGCAGCCTCCTTGCCTGTGGGAGAAGAAGAAGCCATTATTTCTCCAGAAGGGCTGAGGAGGGGTGTGGGAAGGTTTCGACCAAGTACAAGTTGAGCATCTCTAATCTGCAAACCTGAAATAGGAAATGCTCCCAAATCCAAAACTTTCTGAGCATCAACACGACGTCACAAGGGGACGATTCCATACTATGAAACTGTTGCATGCACAGAATTATTTGAAATATTGTATAAGATTATCTTCAGGCTATGTGTGTAAGGTGTAGATGAAACATAAATGAATTTCACTTTTAGATTTGGGCCTCATCCCCAAGATGTTTTATTATGTATATGCAAATATTCCAAAATCTGAAAAAAACAAATAGAAAACCAAGACACTTCTGATTCAAGCATTTAAGATAAAAGATACTCTATATGAACTACAACGCCATAGGATCTCTCTGCCATCACAATCAAAGGCCTGAAAAACAAATAAATTATCACAGGAGTTAAAAGAAGTTGGTACAATATTGGATGGTGAAATGAACACACTCATCCAATCTGGCTCCTTCTCCAAGCCCTCTCAAGAAGTAATACCTAAAAAAATAAACAAATGTACAAAGAGAAGGAAAATGGTTCCAGATGCTGTCAATGACTTGAAAGAAAAGTGATTTCAAGTCTCGTGGCTTCCATGCTTGAACATGATCTCTGTTCTTGACCCCCAGCCTGAACTGGTCCCTGAATCTGGGCCTGGCTCATCAATTGCCCATTTGCCATCTCCACTCATAGACACCCACACATGTGCCAAGCCTAGAGCCATCCACATGTCAGCTGAAGTCAACGCCATCTTCCAGGTGCTTAGCCCCAGAGGTTTGAAGTCACCCTCGAAGCTTCAATCCACCAGAAATCCTTTGGGCACCATTAAGTATACCTAGAACACTGCCCAATGGAACTAGAAATCAACTACAAATGTGAGCCTCGCGCGAGATTTAAAATCTTCCAACAGCCACCTTCTTTAATGTTTAAAAAGATGAAATTGATTTTAACTATATATTCCATTTAACCCAAGATATGCAAAGGATTACCATTTCAACACGTAGTCAATATTATAAAAAAAAATGAGTGTGATAATGCAGCATTCTTTCCTCCATATTGTCTCTAAAATCTGGTGTGTCTTATGCACTCAGAGAATATCCGTGTGGACCACGTGTTCTGAGCACTCAGTGCCCACACATGGCCTCATCGACAGCTGCGGAGCCGCGCCATTCCCCCGTACCCGCTCTAGAACACCCTGCTCACCTAGAAAACCTCAGAGCCTGCCAAATGGGCCTCCCTTCTGTGTCCCTACCCCATCATCTCCTTTATAAATAAAAGATCCTCACACCTCCTGTTAAACAGCACCATCAAACCCTGAGTCCACAGTAAACTTCATGGCACAAAACAGACAAAAGTCTCTGTCCATAACCGTCTGGCTCCCAGCTGCACCCCAACCTCCCTCTTCCTCCTCTTCCCTGCCCACCCGACTCAGCACTGGCCTTCTATTCCCTGGGAATCCCAGCATGCTCCTGCCTCTGGGCCTCTGCTCTGGCTGCATCCCCCCGGCCTGCACTGCCCTCTCCCCACCTGGGCCATAGCGAATTCCCTCCCCTCCTCCAGTTCTTTGCCCAGATTCCATCTTCCCAGTGGGATCTCTCAACTACTCTATTTAAACGTGAACTCACTTGCTCCCTGCTCTCCCTACCCTCTCCACGTCCAGAACACTCCACCCACTCTCTGCGGCACGAGCACTTTCTAACACACTCTGCAGCTCAATTCCTTCTGCCCCTAGAAGAGCACCGGGCCCACTCCCAGGGCTCAAGAACTGGCTGAATGAAGGAACAGGAGGGGACTCAGAAGACTCCGGAAAGCCAAATCCCAAGCCAACAATAGGGAAGTCAGGAAGTGCATAGGTCTAGAATCTGTCAGGGGGCTCTGAGACTCTCATCATCCGGTACCTCTGGAACCAAAGGAAATGACAAAGGCAAGCACTGAGTCAAAGTGGTCTGTGAACTAGGTCTCCAGATGCCCTTGCCCACTCCAGGCCACCAGCAAATATCCCTGCCTGCCGTGGCAAAGTGGGCCTATTGATATTCTGGAAAGGGTAAAGAGAGGATCCCTGGCTGGGCGTGAAGGCACATGCCTATAATCCCAGCAGCTCAGGAGACTGAGGCAGGAGGATCACAAGTTCAAAGCCAGTCTTAGTCATTTAGTGAGGCCCTACGCAATTCAGTAAGATCCTGTCTCCAAATAAAATACAAAAAAGGGCTGAGGATGGGGCTCAGTGGTTAAGCGCCCATGGGTTCAATCCCTGGTACCAAAAAAAAAGAAGTGGGAGGTGGATCTCTGGATTATGAGACATCAGGCACAATTAAATTAATCATACACCAAACACAGGTTTAATGGCCCGGTGCAAACAAACGCTGAATACTGAAACTTTTCCTAGCAGCACCCATTGCCTCTCAGCCCCTGGGCTCCCAGGACTCTGGTTATCAGACCTGTACCTCCAGGTGGGTCTAGGCAAGGAATTTGGTCAATCCAGAAGGAAAGTCTAAAGATGCAGATAAATAGATAGATAGATAGATAGATATCTCAATCTGCCATTTCCCAAAATCTCTACAGTGGAATGCATAGCAGACAAATTTTACCTGCACATTCATTGAATTTTAAAGTTCTCTATTTCAATAACAAGAAGGACAACCAAGGACTACCATATGCCCAAAGAAAATATTTAATATGGGAAGTAAAAGTCAAACCAGTGGGGAAAGGGAAAGCAACTTGTTGGATAGAAAAGTTTATGTGTGATGAAGGAAACAACCTAACCTACCCAAGCAAACAACACACAACAAAATAACTATCATTGTGATTTTTAAGGAAAAGAAAAGATTGTATTCATAAAACAAGAACAAGATGCTATAAGGAAGGAATAGTCAAAATTGCCCTTGCACATTAAAAGTGTGATAGCAAAAATGAAAAATTTAAGAGTACAATACAGAATATCATATATAAAATAGAGCAAAAAATAGAAATGGAAAATAGAAGGAAATTAAAGAGTTAGTCAAGAAATTCTAACATTCAAGTAATTATAATTGCATAAAGAGAGAAGAGAGAAAATAAAGTGGAATAAACTCATCAATTAAATTTCCCAGAACATAAAGATATGAGCTTCTGCATTCAAAGAGCCTGTTGGGTATCCAGCACCCGAGGCACATAAGTGTGAAATTTCAGAACGTTGAAGACCAAAAGAAAATCTGAAAAGCTTCCAGAAAGACATATATATTATGGTTTTAGAGTTCTTAGCAACAACATCCGGAAGAGAAAGTAATGGAATAATGTCATCAGAATTCTAAAGGAAAATGATGGCCAATATAGAATTTTATACCCAGTCTAACTGTCAATAAAGTGTGGTTGAAATGACAGATACACATTCTTTCTAATGAATTTACTAGAAGACATATGATCTATCATAATGGAATAAATAATAAAAGAAGAAGACTAGTATTCAGGATACAGGAAACCCAACACAGGAAGGCCAATATCAGGATGATGGCTGGGGGCTACACAGAGGGCCACCTGTTTAGACGGAATCACCATTGACTCAAATTTGAGGGCCATCACCTCGGAGATCACAGGTAAGCCTGGCCCTCATCCTTATCTGTCTGTGACTTGTCTTCACCATGAACTAGCATCATTCCTCTCAACCCTGCTAAGTCAGCTGAGGACATTCATTTCACCCCACAGAAGCGCTTGTCTTGACCTCTTCCTGGGAGCCAGAATAGCCTTTGGTGAGCTCACAACTGGGTGAAAGAGAAACCCACGTCCCCTGACCATATTCCCACTGGACATGCAGCTCCACTCTCATACCAGTGCTTCCTGATCCTCCAGCCTGACCTTGTCCACCAACCTCCCAGAGTCCCCTATAAACTCCCAGGGAAGGCAGGGCCAGTCCACATCCACAAGACCCTGTTAGGCTTCCCTGACCTGGGAACACTGACCTAAGAAAGGGCAATTTGGTCCTTTCCTTACACAACAATCTGTGGCTTGCTACTCAGTTTTTCAAAAGAAAAAAAAAATCCAGCATTTAAGGGTTTAGTTTAAAAGGTGCTAAAACCATAAAGCGAAGGAACGATTAACACCAAAGTTAGGCCAGACGTTGGCTCTGGTTGTTGCAACTGAAGAAGGGTCTGGGTGCTGATAGCATTCTATTTCTTAATCGGGGTGATGCAACATATTTATCCGGTATGTATGAAATTTATCCACTACTCTGTAGGCATGGTATGTTTCCCAATCTAAAAATGTTTAAGTTAATATTGTGACAGGAGCAAGCAATTCAGAGCTCACTCTGACACCCCAGTCCCATTAACTTTAGCAGTTGCATGAGTCACACGGACAGTTGATAATCACAGCTGGTGTTACCAGTCTCAGGTTTCCTAACAACTGTTATTCCCAACTGAGCAAAACCACAGGAAGCCCTCACATTTTATGACAGAGAAAGAACACAAGAGATGGGTGCAGTGGTGCACATCTATGATCCCAGCAGCGAGGGGCACTGAGGCGGGAGGATGGCAAGTTCAAAGCCAACCTCAGCAAAAGTGAGGTGCTAAGCAACTCAGTGAGACCCTGTCTCTCTATAAAATACAAAATAGGGCTGGGGAGGGGGCTCAGTGGTTGAGTGCCCCTGATACTCCCCTCACTCCCCGAGGGAAAAAAAAAAGAAAAAGAAACAACTTAAACTTTGGAGAAAAACAGACCTGGATTCAAATTCTAGCTGGCCCCTTCCCAGATGAGCAATTTGGATGGTTTCCACATTGTCAAGGAAGACTGTAGTCAAACCACACCATTGGGAGGACGTAGTGAGGCTTAAATGATGTAGTAGAGGGAAAAGGCTGAGTACAGCGTGGGGCACATAGTAGGTCCTTTTAAACACATATTTGATGTTTAAGGGAGCCTAGGTAAGGCTAGGTTGAGGATAAGGAAATACACTACTCCGTCTTCAAGCTGGCTGATTATTTATAGTGCAGACACGTTGAGGCAGCAACAGTAGCAAAGGTTACTTTATGGATTTAGTTCCTTAGCTTGCATTTTGTTTCATTCCACAGTCCTCTTCAGCCCCCAACCTGATATCATTGTCAATGGTCAGTGGTAGCACCTCTGTGTAGGAAATTGCAAGGTTCCCCGTGGGGGTCACGTTAATAGGACATACCACAGTTACCACCCACACTGAATCCGAAATTCGGCCTTGTGGGGGGTGGGGGGCACACCAAACACCAAAGCACAACTTGAAGGAAACTCAGAGAAAGGTGGATTCTAAACACCTAGAGCTCACTGGGCTGCCCTTGGCCCCTCCCCCAGTCCTCAGCTCTGCTCCCCACTATCCCTTCCACAGCTCAGCTCAGTCCCCACTTTCCATGTGGCTTCTGCGGTCCACTTAGTTCTTTCTCAGGAGGGGTTCTTAGTTCATGAAATCCAGCCCGTCTTCGTCCCAACCTAAGCATTTTAAGGTCCTTAGTTTCCCTCTATATTCTGCTTTAGCTGCATCTCATAGACTTTGATAATAATATTCTTACTTGGGGGGCAGTGCCAGGGATGGAACTCAGGGTGCCCAACCACTGAGCCACACCCCCAGCCCTATTTTGTATTTTATTTAGAGAGAGTCTCGCTGGGTTGCTTAGCACCTCGCTTTTTTTTTTTTTTTTGGCTGAGACTGGCTTTGAACTCACAATCCTCCTGCTTCAGCCTCCCAAGCTGCTGGAATTACAGGCCACCTCACCCAGCTCTCATTATTATTTTGATCTTAATTACTTTCTGATTTCCACTATGATTTCTTCTTTGATCCATAAGCTATACCATTTTTTTTTCTTTACCAATCCAAATACTTCCTCTGTCTGGGCCCTAGGCATCTCAGCTAGCTTCTCCAAATCCCTCAGAGCATCCAGACCAGACCACACTGCTGATCACTTGATCAGAGACAACCAGACATTAGCCTGTAACTTCCTGGGTGGGCCACTTCTATCCCTCCAGTAAAACACAAGAGACTTGAACAGGTAGGCTCTCGGGGTGTGAGCGTAGGTCTTATCTGCACCAGTTAGACAGGACCACAATGTGTCTGCACTGTGAATAGTTAGCCAACTTGAATCAACCTGAAAACAGAGTCGTTTATTTCATCATCCTCCACCGAGCCTTGCCTAGGTCCACACATCAAATATGTGTTTAAGAACAGGCAAAAATAAAAACTACAAATTTCCCCAATTCAGACCATTCTAAAACTCCAACTGAACTCCACTCCATTCATTCACTCAGCAATCCATTCATTTCAGCAGCAAGTGTTTCCAGAGCACTTACCATAGTACCATGGACTCTGAGTACCAACGTCAGGTAAGAGCCTGGAATGTGATAAGCTCTGAATAGCGTCTGGCTGAAGAAATGAGTGAATGAATTAGTGGTGAATGAACGGTCAAGGCTGTGGTCCCACAGTGGCTCTCTGCTCAGCCACCGTCATCCAAACCACTTTCCTGGGCCTTAATTCCCTATTCTGTCAAGTGGAATGTGAATGCCTCTTTTCCATCTGGAGGCCTGACGATCATCGCTGTTTGAGGAAAATAAAACAGAGCGTTTCAAAAAAATACCCACAGACGCTTTTCTGTCCTTGCGGTCTCTGTTGAATCATCGTATTTTCAGGGACAGCTACATCCCGGCTCCAAACGCCTGTGATCTAACATGATTTCCCATTAGAAATCCTACGAGGACATATTAGTGCGTTGCGTGCTATTTCAATTATTGATACAGACTTAATATAGTGAAGAGTTATGCTCTGTTGAGCTGTTCATTTAAAAGACAGCGATAAGCACGTGCAAGGACAGAACGTGGCTTATAACAGCAGTCAGGTGTGACATGGATGTGTGCTTCCTATGTGCCATATTAAATTCTCCCCAAAATCACGTAAGATAAGTATGGAACTATTTAGAGTGCTGTTCAGATGAGGAAACTGAGACAGGAGAGACTAAGGATGCATAGGTTCCACACAGAAGTCGGAAGCACCCCGAGCTGACCTTGACCCTGCATCATTCCGGCACCAGAACCGGAGCCCACCTCCTGCCCTCACCAGCAGTGGTTCACTGCCAATAGCCAAGGGCAGCTCCTCCCCTCCTGGCTGCTCTTTAGGGGGAATCCCGGGGACACGTTACCCCACGGGCTGCCCTCCCAGGCACAGTCAGTCTGATGACTAAGAGCCTTTCCTGTGAACGCCGACCCTAGGCCGTGCCTCACCCTCTGGGAGGACGTGAAAATGGGCAGTCTGATGTCATCACACTCGTACTGGCTGATGAAGCCGCGCTCCCGCACCAGGTCCAGCACAGCCTCCACGTGGCTGTACAGTCTCCTGACGATGGCCGGCCGGTGACTCTGCAGGTCTCGGGCTGGGTGGAGTGAGTGGGGGTCCCAGCCGCCACGTGGCTCAGGGGACTGACCGCCGGCCTGGGCTTCCTGGAGAGCTGCGACCAGCTTCTCACAGCCCCAAGCGCCCTTGTTCCCAACAGTGTCCAGCAGGCGCCTGGCCAAGCGGGAAAGAGGCTGGCCTGGGAGGCTGAGGCTCTCGTAGTCCTCCCAGGAGAGGACTTCCCAGGACAGCAGCCAGTCCAAGATGCTCTCGAAGCCCTCCAGGGACCCGGAGACCAGCAGCCCCACCAGGTGACTCCTCTGTGCCTGGAGAGCCTCCGGGGAGCACATCTCACAACCTAGGGAGAGAAGGACGGAGAGCAGGGCTCAGGAGGCTTCCCCAGGAGCCAGGGAGGGGCGGCCAGCCCACCCCAGGACCTGGTCAACCGTGGCGCCCCCCCCAGCGTTACGCACCCCAAGCTCTCCACGGTACAGACCGCAAACCAGGCCCGAGCTCCAGGTCCCACGGCAAGATTGAAGCAGCCAAGAACTGAATCAAGAATCCCTGGCTTCCATCTCCTGCTCCATCCCCAGCTTCAGAGGTTCAAAAGGGCTGGAGCTAAGATGAGGAGCAGTGTCTCCTGGGGGATCAGGGAATTGGCTCTCTTTGAGGCAGGAAGAGAGTACCTTGCCACCAAGCTCGGATTCCCGCCAAGCAGCTTCAATAAATGCGGGAGCACCATCCTAAATGCTTTGCTGCGTGAATCCACTTGCCTGCCTGCCACTCTGAAATCGGTGCCGTGCTCAGCCCCCTTTTACAGAGGAAGAAACTGAGGCACACAGGGTTGCACAAACCGTGCACGAGGCAGAGCTGGGACCTGAAGGCACGCAGCGCGACTTCAGGAGGCATCCCCTTAACCCCTGTACTGGAGTTCCCCACAGGGCCTCGGGCCCACCCCTGTGTGGGTGACCCACAGCCACCCAACTGGGGAATGTGGCTACCGAGACACCAGGCGAGGTGAGGTGGAAAACCGTGGTGCAGACTAAGTTGTTTCAGAGCCTGCTAGAGTGTCTGCACGTGCGCGCGCGCGCACACACACACACACACACACACACACACACCCCAGCCCTCACGTCCTCCACACACACCACCACACATCACAGGCTGGCACTGTCACTGTGGCCGTCATCAATGGCTTACTCTGGGCTCAGCCCCCAGACTCTGGGAATTTGAGGGGAAGTGACCTCCAGAAGCGCCAAGCCCTAGCAGGACCCCTGAGTGGCAGAGAAAATCTCTCAACATGGTCAGTTCTGTGACTGTCACAGGGTCAGGGACAAGGGCTGGTGCAGCGCCCAGGGAAAACGAAAGTGAAAGGAAGAAAGGCACGGAAGAGGACAGCCGAGGGACACGGGCAGCAAGTGGCCTGGGGGCTTCGCCTCTGTCCTGCTGGGCCCATGGCAAAGCCTGGGTCTAGCCTTCCTGGCCCCCATCCCTAAGCTTGGCACGTGCTTGGCCCAGCAGAGGACCCTGGGAAGGGTCATCAATCAAACCTCCAAGCAGAGAGGGGGGGGACGGGAGCATCCTGCACCTTCTCATAAGACAGCGACATGCAGACTGGCCTCATGCCTGGCCTGCATGTCACCTGGACCTGTGTGTCCGGCAGCGTGGGGGAGACGGTGTCCCTATGCACAGGCCACTGCAAACCAGGAATTAAGACAGCTCTCCTTGGTCAAGAAGGTGTCCTCACTGAGCCACCAACAACCAGGGACGAGGGAGGGGAGGACAGCAAGGGGCGGTGGAGTTCTGGGTGGGACCTGGGGTAGTCTCAGCAGCAGAGACACTAGCCCCCAACCCCTGTCCAGTCCTAGGCAGTAACTGCCCCCACTCTCCCTCCCTGAGAGTAGCCCACAAGAGGGGTCAGCACCCTCCTCGGCCCTCAGCCTGGCAAGCAGGGTGCAGCCAGGAGAAGAGGACGGTGAAGACCAGGCCGAGCCCAGGCAGCGCCCCTCCTCTTACCCGGGGATGCCCAGGGAGGGACATCCGCTACCGCCTTCTCATGTGGACAGTCCAGCCCAGCCTCTCGGCAAAGCCCACCAGGAGGAACAGGGGGAGCAGGCAGGCCAGGCCACCTGTGGGTGAGCCTTGAGCAGAGCGGGGCACTGGACGGGCAGTCCTGGGTCGCCCACAGACCCCACCTTCAGGGGAAATCCCGAAAGGATGGGCCGGAAGCCGGAGCCAGCCACAGAGCACCGTGATCTTGGCCCAGAGCCTGGTGCGTCCAGGGTGGCCCTCACTGAAAGGCAGGACAGGGCCCGCTGGAGACCCGAGACACACCCAGCAGACGTGCCCACCCCCAGGGACAGGAGCTGCAAGGAGCAGGCCCTTCCCAAACATGCCAAGGCCGGGGCTGCCTGGCTAGGGACATAAGGGACTCAGAGGGAGAGGCTGGCCCAAGCCATGAGGCCTGGTGATTTGTCCTCCTGCCAGCCGTGGGAAAATCCCATCTGTGCCAATCTGGTGGAAACCTCAGAGCCAGGAGAATCCCCAGGGACCCACGCAGCCAGCCCCGCCTCTCAGCAGGCGTGGCTTTAGCTCCTCTTAAACACCTGGCAAAGAAGACTGACCTCACTAGCCAGCTCAGGAAGTTCATAAACTCAGGAAGTTCTTCGTTATATCTAGCTTAAGTTACTCCTGCTTCCATTTAAATTGGAAGGGAGGGAAATAGGTAAAAATGTTCACTCATCGCTTATTCCATAAAAACTGTGCCTGAAATCCTACCACTTGCACCTTTACCACCTGGGCAGACTCCCCCTCTTTAGATCAATACTTCAGTCGGCCTCTATTGCCTTTTCTTCTCTAGTTGTTAGAGGTTAGGAGTCACTACTTGGGGAGGCTGAAGCAAAGAAAGGCACCACTTTGTGAAACAGAGGGTCAAGGTGACCCACGTGGCACCTCCCTTACCCCCAAGCTCAGGCCTGCACCCGCACACTCCTTCCTCCCTGATCACAGCCTGCCGGCTTCTCTGCAGTCACAACAGGTGGGTTGAGATCTTAGCCTCCACCCCTGCAGACACAAGCAGAGGGAGGCCCCAGGAGGCCCAGCTAGGGCTGCCTGGGTCCGAGCTGGGGCCAAGCCTCCCCTGGGCCATTAGATCCAATCCCTCCTTCCCCTGGCCACAGGGTCTTCCTCCCTCCCCTGCCCTTGGCTGCTCTTCCCTCTGAGACCACTCCCACGGGACACAGGGGACTGATTCCTCCTCCCTGGCGGCTGTCCTCGGTCAGCTCCAAGCCCCTTTGCCCCCGTCTGTGGCTGAACAGCTGTCCTCAAATCCTCCTGCTCGTCCCCTCCAATGGCCCTTCCAACCCCCCACCCCCCCATGGCCACTTTGGTCGAGGTCACCCGTGACCTCCCATGACACAATCTCATCTGTCTCCTCTGGTCTCCTCTGCCAGAGGCGTCGGGCCCCCACAGCTCTCCTCCCCCTTGATGCGCTCCCCCCAAGACTCTGACTCCTCCCCCGTCCCACCGGATGCGCTCGTGCTCGCGCACCCTCTCTCTCTCTCTCTCTCTCTCTCTCTCTCTCTCTCTCTCTCTCTCTCTCTCTCTCTCTCTCTCTCCCTCGCCCCCGCGCCCATACCCCCTCCCCGAGTGAGCCCACCTGCTCTCCTGGCTTGAAACACCGCCTCCTGGTGACGAACCCTAACTGTCCTCAGCAGCTCCAGTCCCACCCCTCACTCTTCCCAGGGCCCACTCGACACCACACGGATGTCTGGGGGCATCTCAAGCTGGAAAAGCACAAAACCAAAGCCCTGACCTTCCCCCAAACAGCTCCATCTCAGCGATGGCAGCCCAGACTTCTAGATGCTCAAGCCAAAGCCTCAGCGTCCTCCTAGGCTCTACCTTTCTCCTGCACCCCACATCCTAGCAACCCAAGCTTCAGCATACTCACTGAATCTGAAATCTCTGTCCTGCGTGGTCCCCCTTCACTGTGTCTTCCTGTTCCCTCGTGCCCTACCGTCCACTCTCAGCCTCACAGCTAGCTGAACCTGCTAAGGCAGAGCAGGTGGACTCCCTCACTCAGAGCCCTGTGGTGGCCCACACGGTCACCTTCAATGACCCATGCAGTGAACACTCAGCTCCCTGCCACTTACCTTTCTGCACTCACTTCCTCCTAATTCCTCACCCACTCCTGGCCCAGCTACACTGGCCTCATCCTCCTTCCAAGAACAAGTCAGGCCTGCTCCTGCCTGTCATACTCCTGCCTCAGGACATTTGCACCAGCTCTTTGCTTGATGGGCATTCTCTCTACGCCCCCCCCCCAAAATAGTCACCTGGCTTGTCCCTCACCTCCTTAAGACTTTGCTCCATGGTCACCCTCTCAAGAGGCCTTCCCTGTCTATGCTATACAAAACTGCCACCCCCAACCACAGCACCCATCCTTGCCTGTTTTCTTTTTCTCCATAGCTCTTCTCACCCCCTGAGATGCCATGTGTTTGCTTACTTCTCTGCTGGTGCTCCTTTCTAGAGTGTGTACTCCACAAGAGCAGGGCAGGAGTGCTGTCTGATGTTCCATTGCCTGGTCTCCCCTGTCTCCCTCGGTGCATTGAGAAAGGTTGTTGGAAGGAATGAAAGAATGCACTTGCTCTATGTGGCTCCAATGGCACACGAGGACCCAAGGGGGTGACAGAGGCAAGCCACCGCCGCTAGCTGAATGAAACAAGAGCTGCAGCTGCAGGACACTGAACAGCCACCTCACAACTAACACACTCAGGGTTGGGGCTTGTGCTGCAGAGGAATTCCCACCAGGGTGGGAGGGAGGTGGCTGGACGGGGCACTTTCAGGCTCAGATTGAGAGAGGCAAAGGGGGCTTGAGTCACCAACAGACCAGGGGCTCTGGCAGTGCCATAACACAGGGCCAGTGGGGATAGCAACCTGGTCTTCACTAAGAGGCCAGAGGAGGGGTGGCAGGCCAACTTTTCCCCCTCTGTAGAATAGGGACCCTGGAGGAGACCAGGTCATGGTCCATGGACAGCCAGGCGACAGGGAAAGAGCTTAGGGAAAGAGCCAGGAAAGTCGGAGCATCTGAGAGCCTGGGTCCACGCTCCAGGAAGACGCACCCCAAGGCAGCGGAGTGGGAGTTTTCAATTTGCCTGAAGACAGGTAAGACCAGGTGGCTGCTCCCCCAACCTGAGAGGCAAAGCAGAGGCCCACAGCAGCAGGCCTGGGTGGGTGGGCCTGTCTGGGCAGGGGCGGGATCTGAACAGGGCCTTCTCCGCACCAAGGGGGAAGGAAGAGGCCAGAGAGCCCAGTAAGAGTTACAGGGCGCAGGCAGGGTGAGCGATGTCCCTCGCTGGCCCTGGAGAGAAAGGACGCAGTCTCCTCCCTCCACAGCCCCCACCAGCCCCAAGGCACAGCCTCTCAGGTCGCAGAGACCGCTGGGGACTCCAGCCAATTTGCCCACACCCCAGAGCCCTCACCCTCGGTGACCGCAGCGTGCCAGGGGGCTCCCGCCCTCGCGACGCCCCGTTCTTCTCCCTCCCCTGGGGGAAACCGAGGCCACTCCTCCCCAAGCCGGGCGGCCAGCCTGGCTCCGGAGCCAAGTGACCCCGGGGCGGGACCCTCGGTGCCCACTGTCCGCCTGCCTTCCTGGCGCCTGGACGAGCACTCACCGCCCAGCGGCCGGCACC